TGACATATAGTTCTGAGCACACTTGGCCAGGATGACAACACAGATCATCTGATACTCACTCATACTCTCAATTTTTCAACTGACATAAACCATGACACTCTAGGTGGAAAGGACCTTCAGAACATTTGGGAAAATTCTTGTCTAGCGTGCATTGAAAGCTTGCCTAAAGTTATAGGAGCTTTTAAAAATTTGAATCACAAACTAAGTAACTATATTTTTCCAAGAGGATCTTTCTTTCTCCTTCCAGAATAAAGAATCTCACCTTTACAAAGTTAAAAAAGCCACAGTAGTGGAATTTGAAAAAAAAAGTATTGTCTGTGGCATATTTCAAATCCAAGGCTACTCCTTTGGCCTTGGTAAATTTCGCCTCCCTGCAATGTATTGTGCAAAGCCCTCTAAACCAATTTGGAACACAGAGGAGAGTCTCGCCTGAGGATCAAGTAAGCATTATAGCAATCATATTTTGTTAACCAATTTTTTGCTTATTCAAAGATGTAAGGATGTCATTTTCTCCAAATAGTTGAAGTTTTATAAGCTTCTTAAATCTGTATTTCTTAATAATTGCCTGAAAAAAGACATGCTTACTTTTTTTTTTAATATAATAGAATTAAGAATCCCACCTTAAGCATTTAGAATCTGATCAAGTTATGGAAACCTTTCAGGATAAACTCATACAATACATGGCTGTTTTCTTTCCACTTATCTCATTGAAAACTTAATGTTTCTTTCATGACAAAGGGTTTTAGCATTTCCCTTTGTAATTCAAAAAATATTAATTTTCTTTATTAAGCACTGACTATAGTTTGGAGGTTAATGCTCTTCAAACAAATAGAGTATATTTGGTCATTTATTTTTCTTTTTATCATTACTAGTTTCATTAATACTCAGTAGGAAAAAAATCTTATGACTTAGTATAGTGTGGACTGCTAGGTCTTACTAGAAATTAACCTATACATAGAATATCTTAGAGAAATCTATAAAAGGTGAGATTTGTAAGAAGCAAGGAGGAAGGAGAATAAATGATTTTTACCTTAGGAGCAGAGGTGAAAGTACATGGGGATAAGGAAGGGGGAAATAAGTTGAAGGGGCTAGAAATCCAGGTAATGGTACAGGTGGGGGGAAATAAAAAATAAAAAATAAAAAATAAATCAGGCTCCCCTCACAAATTCTAGAGGATTAGACCATACTAGAGAAGACACTGTAGAATTGGAATACGACCAAGTAGTAAGATAAAATTCTGCTCACAGATATGGTTTTCAAAATTATAATGCAACATAAGTATAATATATTACCTAATAAATGTGGATGACTGAAGAGACAGTTGTGGTAGAGCAGAAAGAAAACTAAACTTACAGCCCGGTTTGTGAGATAATACGTCAAAGTACCACTGTACACGTTCAAGGAGTATGTATACATTAGCTATAATTACTTGTGTTACTGATCTGTAATCAAAATTTAAAGATATATAAGTATTTAATCAGAACCAGTTTTGTTTGGGTTTTTTTGTTGGCTTTTTTTTTTTTTTTTTTTTTTTGTCTTTGTGGTGCTGGAGACTGTAGCCAGGGCCTTGCAAATACAAGGTAAGTACTCTACCACTGAGCTACACCCACAGCCCCTCAAACTGTTTAATGACAGTAACTTTAAAGCTAGGTTTCTCAGTCTCAGCTCTACTGATATTTTAGGTCAATAATAATTTGCTGTGGGAGGCTCAGCAGCATCCTTAACATTTACCCAATAGGGGCCAGTAGAACCACCCAAGTTAGTGACAAATGAGAAATGCTGCTGATCACTGCCAAACTGCCCTTGGCTGAGAACCACTGCTTTAAAGCACTGGGAAAAAAATCTAGAAATTATATTTATGGCTCTCCCACAAAACTGAGGATGAGAGACAGCCAAGATGAACAAGAGCTGAGATGTCCATCGTAGCAGCCAACTGTCACATATGCCTACTTACTGTGTATGTGACTAGTCAGGACTGCGGTGTGCTGTTAGTGTAAATTTAGTGTTACACACTAAATTTCAAAGACTTAGTTACAAAAAAGAATGCAAAATATTTCATAAGTTTTTCATACTGATTATATGTCCAAATGATAACATTTTGGCTATAGCAGGTTCAAATCAAATACATTATTAAAAATTAAATTTATCTATTTCATTTTATTTTTTTAAAAATGTGGTTACTAGAAAAGCTATAATTATATATGTGGCTTGTGTAATCGTTCTATTGAACAGTGCTGAATTGAGGCAAAAGAAGAAAAAAAAGCTTCCTCCTTCATGCATGCTATCCATTCCTGGCAGGCTTTGATTGAAAAAATGAAACACAAAAGAGCTACCTTCAGTTTTCTCTTTACATTCTCTATATGATGATACCTAGTCTCACTGCTTCCATGAAATTACTACTCTTAGATAATCAATCTCCAAACTGGACCTGCAACCTACATGTCCAACTATCACACTAACAATCCATTGTGGCTCTCCTAGAAAGCCCAAACCACTCCTCACTCCCATAAAAACTCCTCTTCCAGGAATCTTCATTTTAGTAAGTGGTATTATTGAGGTGAACACTGAAGCCCAGAAACTTGAAAGTCATCCATGAGTTCCCTCTTTTTCATCCCACCTGCAATCTCTCACAAATCCTCTTCATCTACTTCCTGAATATTTCTGGAATCCCACTGACTAGGGCAGGTCATCATGATCTCTCCCTGAATCAACTGCCCCTTCCCCTTTATCCTCTTATTACACCTGCCCTTCCTTCTAGAATATTATACTATATAAATAATGTAGTGTAGCTTTCCTTATTCATTGTTGTAACTCCAGTTCATTGACTCATGAATTAATGACTATGAATGAATGAAAAGGAGTACAAAGTAACTTGCTAAGAGGCTGGACTACAAGAATAATGGCTGCATTAGAATATGAGGCCTGGGAGAGCATCAGTGCTTATGTCCAAATGCCAATGCTTATGTGCTTACCCAAGTCTTAGGATTCTAGAAATGAGGGGAAAATAGTTGGGAACCATGTGCTCTGCACACCCATCCTTAACAGATTTAGTTATCATACTGAAACTCAAATCAAAATCTTTCTGGGTCAGGAAAGAGCTGCTGAAGGTACCTTGTCCAATACTCCAGTCCTGCACCAATCCAATGCCCAACAATTTCCGTCTCCAAAGCCCTATCTGCAGATTATCTATAGTTTCACAATTGCACAGTGAAAAACAGCTAAAATGAATACAATTATGATGAAATGTACTACTTCTATAAGTAAGTCATTCTCCAATAACAAGGTCAAAGCAAGTAGTCTCCTTTCGTTGTAGATTCTTGACCCCCTTTCCTGCCTAAGCCATTCTTCTTCATTTCCTAGTCCATCACCGGTTTGAAGGGAGGTTGGGATAAACTGTGGCAGCATCTATCCTAACCAGTAAGTTATGGTTGCTAATTTGGAAGTTTAAAGACAGACAAGATTTTTACATCTTAGTGGTGCTTAATGTATTCCAGATCTAAGCTATAGAAGAACTTGTAAAAGACTTTCCAGCTGGGGCTGGGGTCGTGGCTCAGTAGTAGAATGCTCGCCTAGCATGCATGGGGCACTGGGTTCGATCCTCGGCACCACATAAAAATAAAATAAAGATATGTGTCTACCTAAAATTAGAGAAAAAAAAAAAGACTTTCCAGCAACATGTGTATTTTCAGAAGAACATGTAAAACAAAGGGAAAACTAAACCCGTGATTTCATTCATCTTTCACCTACTGGTTCTCCTGTAAGTGAAAGTGCAGTGTGTGGGAGGATGGGGTATGATGAAGTATGATGCACCAGTCAGGGTTTAAGAAAGGATAGCATGTCAAAGCCAGGGTCAACCATAAGTCCAAGTGTACCATGGAAGGCTACACTTGTGTAGCTGATTTTTAAAAAAACTATCTTATCTAGAAATTATATAAAAGTCAATTCTTTTGTAAGATGACGAAAGAGAATAGGTCTTTATGACTAAAGAAATGTTAGGAAAGATAAATTTTTACTTGGGAGTGTAAGGCAGAAGGATCAAAAGTTCAAGGTCAGCCTTGGCAATTTGGTGAGACTCTGTCTCAAAATAAAAAGTAAAAATAAAAACAAGGGTAAAAATTGTTTTTTCTTCATTATTTTCCTTTTGTAGCTCAAAAGAGAAAACAAGAATAATTACCAGGTTCCCGCCACTTTAGGCAGAGAGATAAAGAGATTTAGTAATAAAGTGTTTTTTCTAGACTAGAGATACTGTTTCTAGAAATGACTCTTGAAGAATGCTAGAGAACTTATCAAAGACCATTTCCCCTCTTGATATCTTGTGGTGAATCTTTTCCTTAACAAAGTTCACTATCTCAGCAAACACATCTGTTTTTATTAACATGAGAGTGTAATAAAAGAGACTAGTGGACTTAGAAAAAAACAAACCAAAGATGCACTCCCCATTGTGCCACTTATGAGACCATAGGTGAATCACCAATCTCTGTAAACCAGGCATATTCCATTTGGGGTGTGTGTGTGTGTGTGTGTGTGTGTGTGTGTGTGTGTGTGTGTAAACTTTATTCTTTTTTGGATAAAACAATAGCTATTCAGAATACCTGTGGTATGAAACCTTCATGGGGATGAAACAGGAAAGAAAAACATCAAAAAAGGTTTCTAGGTAAGGAATGATTAATAAAAGGCTAAGAACACTTTTCTAATTTCCCAATTACAAATGGGTCTTCACACTCATCTGAAAGGACTCTTCAGATATAGCTATATTATAATCTATAAAGAATGAAACTGGGAATAAAATAATCCAAACTGAGCAATTGCCAGGAATGTATAATTAACATAAAGATTCAAACACACACACACTATTGTCATTTGATGATCGATTGTGTTAATAAAACAATTTTCTCTTCTTACTAGTCATTTTACCTCTGAATACCTAACATCCAAAGAGTAAACAAGGTAAAGTAAAAAAAATAAATTCAAAGGAGTATAAATGCAGCAAAAATACAAACCTAAAATGCCAATTTCAAGACCCGCCAGGTCTGTTTTAATTTTATCATAAATATCTTCTGATGTAAAGTCAACAGCAATGGTCCTTGTCTCCACTTTGAATTTTTCTTCTAGAAAAAAAAACAAAACACACACACAAATGAGGAAAGATAGGGAAAATTAATGCATAGCAATTAAGATTAGAGCATTTGATAGCATTATTCTTTCATTCTCTTTTTTCCTCCCAATCTGATATGACATTTAGACCAGGATAATTTTAAGCAATCATGAGACCATCTAAAAGATGCTATACAGTCAACACAATAGTTCAGCAATTAAAAATTCTAGTGTCGTCACAGAGCCCGCTGATGTTCCTTAATCAGTTCTCCTTTTATATATCAATAATGAAAACTACTTTTTAGACCCTTAGGTACAAATAATAAAACATGATTCATATCATAATGTTATATACGCTTTAAATATCACTGGCTTTGTGATTTTAATTGCAAATTGATGCTTTAGAATTTCAAGAGGAAGTCTTTATGTCGTAAAATACCTTAAAGTGTGATATATTAAAACAAAAAGTCCATCTTATTAAAATGGAAATAAAATGAATATGATCTTATTGTAATTTTGGAGCTTGGTTAACAGTTAATAGCCACTACATTTTAAAACCACACAAAATACAGAGTAATAAATCTCTAAAATGACATGAGAAAGACCTCAGTGTTCTCCTTTGCACAGGACTATTAAAGTCCAAACAGAGCTGAAGGAAATAACAGCTTCAGAAATGAGACCCTAGAGAAACAAAAACTCATCTGAGGTAAGGTATAATGTTTACTTCTGCCTTCACAAGTCAGCCCCCTTGAAGAGAGAGAGTGGGCTTTGAGGTCACCCAGATATCGGTTCCAATTTTATTTCCAACTTATTTGCAAAACGACTTTAAGCAAGTCACATGTCCTTCTTGAGCCTCAGCATCCTCTTGTGAAAATGAAAGTACCACCCCCAACTTAGAATGTGGGGCTGAAGTGATACTGTGAACAAACAGAAGGAATCCCATAAACACGGGTCCCCCTTTCCCATCAATCCCCAGCCTGCCTCCCTACAAATGTTATTCTTTGAAACCTGCTGAAAATTCAAAAGAATTAATTTTAAAATCCTGCTTCCAAAAATAAATCTTTCTTCAGTCAAAATCAATGTCAGCTCATCACAGAATTTGCAGGATTAATCCTCAAAGGAAGTATCCATTCTTGACCTAAATGGATTTATGTCTAATACTAAAGAGCTGGTTCAGGAGAGACTGGATTCTTGGTTAGACTCAATGAAAAGTATTGACCCTAGGTAAAAATTCATGCATAAATTGAAGAGAAGAAAAATCAACCAAGAAAATACCTTGTTTGGTGTTAAAGGTATTCTTCCTGTTGCAGTACACATGAGGTATATGTGTGTTTACATAATGAAGAGTCAGGCACAGAGTTGTTATTTCACTAGAGCTCAGAGCACATCTTACTAGAAATGACTCAAGAGAACTTACCACCAGTAACTAAAGAACACTAATTCTTTTACAGCTCAAGATTCACATGGGGGGACCCAAAACAAAAAGCTGAAGGATACTTTTTGCTGTATGTAAAAATTTATTCAAGTATAAAATAAGATAAATTGACTTATTTATTTTAAAAAACAAAGTATTTTTCTGTACTAGCGTTAGGTTCAGGAAAGTCTCTCTGTAGTAATAAAAGTAATCCCACAATCCCTGTGTCAGATTCATTCTTCTAGAGTTTACAGGACTTGCTGAGTGTCCTTGTACTACTGTAGTCCTGTGCAGATACGCTTCTGAAAACAATTCAACAACACTCTTGGAAAGAATGTTATTTAATAATAAATGCCCATGGAAGCTTTCTTTGTATTCACATTAGGACAAGTAAATGATTTCTGGAGTAAGTTTTTCGGAAGTTTAAAAATTTGAACTTATACATGGATTCCCCAGAGTCCTGTTCTGGCCCAGTCAACACTGCTTTTTTCTTCTTTACTCTTCTTCATTGTCTCTGACTACGGGCCTTTTCCTTTTTCAACATAGGTCAGATAATATCAGTCCCCTCCTCACAAACCATCTCACTCAGAGTAAGAGCCGCAGTCTTTGGTCTCAGCCTAATGCTTCTCGGATCCCATTTCCAACGGCTCTAGTTGCTCTCCAGTTCCAACAATGGTGGCTGCTCACACTCCTAAACACAGAATATGCTCCAAAGGCCCTTGGGGTGCTGACACCTACTATTCCCTGTCTGGAGTGCTCTTCTGCATCCCTTATCTCTGTTGAGTCCTTGAGCAAATGCTACTTTCTCAGAGAAGCCTTGTTTGACCACCATTTTGAAGATGCCTCTTCAGAAGAATCCAACGAACTCCCCTCGTTTCCTTTCTGAGAATCAATATGTGCATGCTCTTGATGAGGCCCTTGGATGGGTTGTGAGGTTTTCATGACCTGACCCCACACCCACCATAAAGTTGTATGGGGCAAAAATAGCAGCACACATATGTAAGAATAGAAGAGGAACAGTTCTCTCTGGGCCCAGGCTATCAGACAAGAATTATGACAAGTACTCCAAAAGGCTGGCTTTTAGGATAAAATGGGTGGCTTCCTTAGGAATTAGTGAAGTGATTTAAGGGTACACATCTTTCCCCTTCGCACAGCCTACCACTCTGCCTCTTATTGTCCCAATAGAATGTCAGACTAATGGACAATGATCTGACTACACAAGGGTGTAGTAAGTACCAGACACACATGGTACAGAGAAAGCTGTATGGCCATCTTCACAATCTTCCAAGCCAAGGTTTTTCATAAGACCCAACCCAGCAACAGCTCCTGTCAGGAAGAATGAGCACTTCATCAAAGCCTTCAGAGTGGGTGCTTCTGGGTGCTCACATCCTTGCCTACCACAAAGGCCCAAAGAATGACATAGCCTGTGGGCAAGTCTTTTTCCCAGAGTAGAAGCAGTAATAAGATACAGTCAACACCCTACAGGTGTGCAGGATAAAGATACACAAACAGAATTTGGAGGCTTCAACAGACATAATATGAGCCATTCAAATGCTGGTAAGGAAACTTTTGTTGCCAAAACTGTGAGAATGTGATCAGCCAGCAATTTTGGGGTGTTATTCCTTTGGGAATTGCTTCACCCAAGAACCTGCCCTTCCAGTGGTGGGTCAATGACTCATCGCCACGAGGATGTAAAATCACTGGACAGCTTGTACCTTCCAGGTTCTGATTCCAGAAATAGAGTCTGTTTATTATCTTATTAATTTTAGGTATGAGTTTTAAGACAGGGTTTAATATTTCTAGTAGTGAAGTCTCCTTTATTGATCTTCTTTTACAAAAATTTACTGCTTTTTCTCACCTGTTTAGTCTGTTTCTATTGGGTCTGCATTAAGCACTTCAATTAAATTTGTGAAGAATGACAATGTGGCATTCCCTCTAGGCTCTCTATTTATTCAAATATTGTATAATTGTCTGACAGTAAAATCTGTAGTTCTTAAAGACAATACAGAATTAACGAATCCATTGAGCTGGGGATGTAGCTCAGTGGTAGAGCCTCAAGCCATTCCATTACCTATAATCATGGATATTCTATTTCCACAGTCACATTGCTATTTTAGACTCAGAGTATTCTGAATTAGTTCAAAGAGTCTGCAATTGACAGGAAAGGAACTGTACCCACAAGTAGTCTCAAGGTGCTGCTGAAACACCCCTAAGTATTAAAATTAACACAGGTTTCGGTTCAAATCAATAGAGGTAATAAACACATTCAGAAGAGCATCATATTGTACCTCAGCCAGAACTACATGGGCAGTCAGTATAGATAGATAAATCGAGTCAGGTTGGATCAAGGAGGCCAATTTTGAGTCTAGGAAGTTGGAGACTGTCCCCTGAGGGACTGAAATCTTAATTCCTTCAGAGCCCTTCCTCCACCCTTATCAAAAACCTGCACCTGCTCCAACCTGTTGCTAAGGTAACCTGTCCCAGGAACTGTCCCTCCACACCACACTGGGAGCTATAAGGTTGTTGATGTGTCCTACTCCATCCTGCCCTTCCCCCTTCAGCCCACCTTTTTCCCACTCTGGGCCCTCCCACCCAGGATTCCTGGGCCTAGTCACATACACAAGAAGGAGAAAGATAAGGGGGAAAGGCGAGAACAAAGGAAGCCTGGGACCTATAAAAAGGGCAGAACACCTCGCTTCTTGGGATGCCAGGATACCAGCTATGCTTCTCCCTCGCAGAAGTCTGTATTCCCCCTTTTAAAATAAACCCTGCTTTATATGCTTGCCTCGGTGGGCTTCTCTAATGTTCAAACTTCAACATGTCACCGATAACCACGGGTGTCAATATTCAACTCAACACACTTCTAGTTCTGGCCATCCTTTTTTTTTTTTTTTTTTCACTTTGCTCAACAAACTGGCCCCTCCTTCGAAATTTAACAGTCTTCCTCTAAGACTATTCATAGACTTCGGAAAAACTTTCCTCAAATAACTCCCCTAAGTGACTGAGGACACTGTGAAAATGCCAGAAAATAAGTCTTATCTATATAAATTTGGGTATTATTTAAAYTTTTCTAGCTATATAAACCAAAAAGAGTATATTGATTCTCCTTTACCCTACCTCTGCTCCAAATAAACAGCCACTTCTCCTAAGTTTCAGGTTTCATCATTATAAAATTCTATTGCAGTCACCCTTCCCCACCTTGCCTATAATGTAACACTGTTTAAGATTCAAGTGGTGCCGCTGCCTGTGTGGACAATTTTTTTTTAATGATCCATTTCCTCCAAGGAAAARCTCCTTAGTCTCTTGGGGACATTCTTGGAGACCTTTTATGTAACCCTATAAGGAGCCTGCCATAATGTATGAAATAAAGAGTCCCAATTTCCTAACAAACAGTGATCATTCTTTGTCATCTTTGTCACTCTTATATTTCCAGCACTTAGCACAATGCCTGGCATAAACCGAAGGCCTCTCTGCTAATAAATGAGTAAAAACATTTAGACCAATACAGCTGATTTATTAAAACCACCTTCTTGGTACTTGCTGAACTCTTCCCTTAGAAATAAAACCATATGCTGGCCAGGCGCAGCAGCGCACGCCTGT